CTCTGATTTCCTCTATATCTTTCTGCTGTTGCTTATTTACCATTGATGCTATTAATTCATGCATTTGAGCCGAGCTAGTGTCCTCTGCATTTGTTTTGGGTGGGCACTGGGTTTCTTCCATATATTTCTGCATTTGATTCTTTAGTGCAGATGATATTAATTCAGGGATTTCTTTTTTCATTTCCATTCTGAGATTTTCGATATCTTTCTGCAGCTGTTTCTTTATTTCAGAAGCGGTTGATTCATTGCTTTCAGCTGTGTGATTTCCAATTTTTTCTGTGTTAGTGACCTCTGCACTTGTTATGGGTTGGCTTGGGTTCTGAGGTTGCATTTTGTTCCTTCTAGTCATTTTGTGTAGCACTGTCTTCTGACCTTTGTTTTAGATCTTTGCTGTAGTTATAACCTTCGCATGTACTGAAGTTCAGGTGCAGCTCTACAAGGTTTGGACTTACCCAGTTGCGTCTGGCTTGGGTCTGGCTGCTGTGCTCAGCTCCTTCCCGCTGCTGCCCTTGAGGGTGAACCTGTTGTTCCCCTGTGGCGAGATGTTCTGCTCCTGGAGTAGGTGGTTGGATCTGTCCTCTACACTCTCTGCAGGGATTGCAGCTGCAGGATTACACCCCAGGCGTGTATGCCAGGCCTGAGCTGTGCCTGGAGTGGGCAAGTTGGAGTGGGGGGAGAGGAAGCTGTCCCTCACACTCACTGGGTCTGGGCTAGGACTGCGTCTGGGGGTTCCCGGAATGAGGCAGAAATTCCTACTCGGTGGGCGGGGTGGGGGAGGTACTGCGGAGTGGTGGGGGGCGGCCCAGGGGGGTGGGAGAGGGTCCGGCCCACGCTGTGCCTGGGCTGGGACTGGTCCCACTGGCGCAGGGTAGCAGGAAGCTCTCCACACACTCACGGGACCTGGGCTAGGATTGATTTTTACATTTTAATGATAAAAAATTCTCACTGATAATGAAGTATAAAACAGCACTTTTCCTTTACTATTATTCATTTTTTGTCCCACTAAGAAATCTTATTTATTTAAAAGACAGGATTTTTTCCCCCTGTATTTTAGGGAAGGGTCTACAAGGTGTTCAGGGTCTCACTACTAGATCAGACTTGTAGTGATTCTCCTGTTTACAGGCTCCCAAGTGATGGGATTGCAGGCATGCACCACCATGTCCAGTTTCAATTACCATTTCAGTGTGCCCCAGGAGCGGGGCCAGCATGGCAGGCCCAGGGTTTGAACCTCCAGCCCCTGTGCCTGCTTGCAGGTGCTTTAATCTGCTGAGCTACTTGGCTGGCCCAGGACATTCTTTATGTTACCTACTAGAAGATTCACCGTGTAATACTTAGATCTACATTCCATCTAATATTCACTTTCACGTATGATGTGAGCTTGGGCTCACCGTTAGATTCTTCTGCATGTAGATATTCAGTAAGTTCTTGCAGTGTGTATAGGTCACCTTTCCTCCATGTATTGCAAATACACTTTTGTTACAAACTAAGTAACCATGTAGATGGGCATGTTTCTGAGCTCCTGTTTCACTGCCTCAGTAAATACTTCAGCTGGAGTGGTGGTTGTTGCAGGCTCACCTTATTCCCAGGGAAACTGGAGGTGCTGGGCTCCTGCATTTTGGGAAGACCCTTGCTTCCTCTGCAGAATCACTGGATCTATCTTTGTTCTTTTCTCTTTTCTTATAGACACTACTAATTAGCTGACAAAGTGAATTACTAAGATAGTAAAGCCTTACATAAGATTCAGTATATGTTAGGTTCTTTTCTAAATATGTCCCTACTCAACTTTAACTCAGCCCCTGATAGTTATTATTGTTGTCCTCATTTTTTTGATGAAGAAACTGAGGGCCTGAGGACACAGAGATGGTCAGAGCCAGAGCTCCTGCCACAGTCTGTACTAGTAGCAGAATTCTGCACTTGCTTTCTTCTAGCCAGTGGCTGAGAGTGGTGTGTTGGGGACAACATAACTCTGGCATAGGAGTTTAGTCATCTGAGTCCTCATACTGACTGCTGTGCTACTGCATGGGAGACTGGGTGCATTTATTAATCTATTTATTTACTTGTTTGTTTTCTGTGGTACCAGGGATTGAACTTGGGACCCAGTACTTTCCAGGCAGGTGCTTATTCTACTGAGCTATTATTATTATTTTTTTGGCAGAACCGGGGATTGAACTCAGGCCCTTGTGCTTGCCAGGGAAGCGCTTATTCCGCTGAGCCATCTCCCCAGCTCCTACTGAGCTATTTCTGCAGCCCTGTATTTATTAATCTCTTTGGATCAGTTTTCTCAACTGGAAAGCAAGAGAGTAAAGTGATATTTAAGGTTCTATTCAGCACTGACACTTTATAATACCATCTATCTGGAAGATTCCCAGAGACACAGTGGGTTTATGGAGAGAAGAAAGTTGCACAATGGGGACTGGGTTTGAAGAGCTCGCAGGGGAGCTAAGGAAGAGTGATGAGCGTGCTAATGTGGCAGGGGTGGCAGCTAGAGGGTGGCCTCCAGCCTGGCCTCTTCCTAGCTGCTCAGCTCCTTCCTGGATCTGGGGGCCAGCCTATCGCGTTACATGCCGGGGGAGGGGATTCCTAGGTGTTCTGTTTTCTCATCGACCCCCCTCCTGGGAATTAGTTTGGGAGCCTCCTATGCATTCCCAAGGCATGGTTCCTGTGTGAGTCTCAGGGGAGGCACTTTCTCGGGCCCAGAGTTGGCTAATTGCTCACCCACCGTGTCCGTTCTGAGTGCGTGAGAGTCACACTAGGCTCTTCCACATGGACACCAAGGGCCCATGGGGCAGGTGGGTGACCTTGGGAGACATCCCAGGCCGAGGCTGAGGCCTGGGAACAGCTTTTTATCACTAACTCATCAACAGGAATGTGGGGGCAAGGTAAAAGAACAAAGACCTCACACAATTAATATAGTTATCTTTAGAAAAGTCTAGAAAATTCAGATAAACAGAAAGAAACATTAAAAGCCACCTGTAATTCCTTAATCCACAGACAACCATTAGCATTTTAAAATTACACTCTTCAGACTTTCTCTGGCTTTCTCCCTCCACCTCTGATACATACGCATATAAATATTCTATGTGCACATGTGTATCCTGAGTCAGATTTTCTGTATGGAGGATTCAGTATTTTCCTGTCATAAACACTTCCCATGTCATCCAGCATATTTTACTGCCTTTCGTAGCTGCATAGGGAAACCTCTGGAGATTGTGTGTCCTGTTCATTGCTGTTTACAGTGATTATCCCCGTTCGTAGAAGACATTTTTGGTGATTTCTCAAGGAATCTTGAAATGAACATGATTTGGTGGTTTTCCAAGGGGTAATAAAGTTCTTTGCACTGTCTTTATTATTATCAATAAGTATATTATAGTATTACTAACATTAAATAATTGTTAATTGAATGCTTTATAAATTTCCAATCTTCTGCATGCATTTTCTCAAGAGATGGAGGGGGCAGGAAGGAAGAGACAGGGAAGGGAAGTAAATGTTTCCGTGTCACCTCTGCAGCATGAATGGAATCACTGTGCACTGCAGACATATACTAATAAAAATAAAAATTTAAATTCAAAATTTTTTTTCTAGAAGGGCTGGTAGCTATTAGGCTCACTTATTCTCGTTTTCCAACTAGGAAAACCAAGGGCTTCGGGAACTAAATGGCTCATCGCAGTTACCCAGTTGGAAGAGTGGAGAGGAGTATGCAGGGCTGTGTGGCTCTTGACCCCTGAAGGGAGTGTAGGCTCTGCCCGGCAGGGCTGTGGCTACAACTGCCGCAGAAGAGTCATGTGCATGCTTAGGAGTGGACAGGAGTTCAGCCTCCGCTAGCAAAGGAGAAGCTGGGTCATGCATGCCTGGGACTCTGTGGGGAGAAATGGGCTGGGCCTTTGGAGCTACCTTCACAGGGCTGAGTCACGAAAATGGGACAGGGAGCCCCAGAAGAGCAGGACAAGCACTCCAGGCAGAGACATAGCAAGGGCAAAGGGGGGGGGTGGCGTCAAGGCATCCTGATCCTCAGGCCTGAAACTCACAGCTCATTGAAGCCCTGTTCTAGCACTTCCACCAGACCCCAGGCCTTGACAGGGATGGTATTGAATGTTCTGTTAGAGAAATACGGTAATAACTTCCATTTAGTTTTCTTAGAAGCCACCATATGTGTTTAGATAATTTCACTATAGTGAAAAAGAAGGTCTCTCTTTTCTATATTTCCTCAAAATAGCAATAGCCTGTTTGTCTGCTTGTAAGAATGATAATGATCGCAAAAGCTATCCACATTATGAAAGCTTTATACAATATGGGTAAGCATAAAGACTAAAGCAGAAGCCCCACCCCGAGGGAACCGCTCTCAGGATCTCCAGGCCCAGCTTCCAGATACTCCTAGGCCTGCAGGTGTGCAGCGGCCTTTCCGTCACGGTTTCGTCGCTATGTGCTCCTCTGTGGCATGATTTTCTCCTCAGGAATCTGTCTTGGACACAGTCCCCTGTCATTGTGTGCTGATTCCCACCGCTATTTTTATTTACTTTTGTACAGTCTGATTTACAGTAATGTAAAATGGTCATGTTTCTGGCATAGGAGATGTTCATTTCAGTGCACACATATTGGGGCTGGACTTCCCTCATGAGGGCCATTGATCTTCTCAAAATGACACAGGCTTCGTGAGCCACGCTGTCCTCACTCAGAGGTTCTGTTTATTTAAAAAAAATGTTTACTTCTTCATTTCACAAAGTTTTCAACCTTAAAAAGTGGAGGGGAGAATTAAGTACACGCTTGGATTAAGTACTCATCTCTTGGATTTGAACTGCGTCAACTTTCCGTCACTGCGACCAAATGCCTGATGATGACATCTTAAAGAAGAAAAGGTTTGCTTTGGTTCTGGGTTTCGGAAGCTTCAGTACACCCATGACTGGCGGGCACACTGCTGCGGATCTGAAGAGAGTCAGGATGTTGCAGTTGAGCAACTTGTTGGAGCGAGGCTCCTGACTTTGCAGCCTAAAAGGGAAAGAGCCAGACAGGAAGGAGCCAGGGACCAGACATAGTCTTCGAGGTCATGTGCTAATGACTCACCTGCTTGCTTCCCCTTGACCCCACCTCCTAGGTTTCTACCACTTCCCAGTGATGGCGGCAAGTCATGACGTCATCAGTGATGCAATTCCCCAAGTCAGTGCCCACACAATCTACCCTCTGGGCCTACCTCCGAAGATTGGTGCCATGGAGATCAAACCCTCAATGAGTGACTCTGGGGACATTTCATATTTAAATTGTAAAGCAACAGTAGTTGTCAAAACCTACCACATTGGCATTGCCTACCATTTCTTCTATTTTATTTATTTATTGTCTTGCCTTTGCTGAGCTACGTAGAAGAAAATTCAGTTATCTTCTCATTTTACTACAACACATTTTTGTATTTATTGGTTGGGGGAAAAAATGACAGATTGTCTTGTGTGGAACTCCCACAGTACCAGTACCACACCTAACAAAACAGACCTTAGCTTCCCAGGGCTTGGGGGTCTAGTGTTATATTTTCCTGAAGGTCCCAAAACTGCTTTATGCCCTTGTTTTGTTCAAATCGGGAACTAAACAGGAAGAAGATCTTTATTTTATTCTTATGTTTCTTAAGTTTGTTTCCTCGTGTAATCCCCACACAGCATGAATTCACCCACTGAGGCAGTACTTCATAAATGTCCATTACACGTCTAACTTTCCGGTTATATCAGGGGACAATTTATTGGGAGGATGTCCGAGTTCCTCTCTGGAGTACTTCTATTATATCCTCTGCTTTAAAATATTCTTTCTTATATCCCTCTTTTCCTTTCCTTTCTAACTAAGTAGCCCATGGGACCACAGTCTTGAACAGACAGCCTTGCCAAGCAAGCTTTTAATATCATTATTTTATTTCCATTGTGGCCACAAATACTGTTTTATTTTTATTTATGGAAACTAATGCTAATGTTCCATTTAGGGTAGCATTTTTTTTTTTGGTCTTTTAAGAAAATATATTTATTTCATTAAAACGAATGGACAATGGCTAAAGGAAAAAGCATAGAATTGAGGATGTGGAAGTATATCTGACCTTGGCAAGGCTGGGAGTCTGCTCCAGAAGGGCAGACAGCAGGCGTCCCACCTTTCTGCACTGAAAACAACAGGAGGAGAATCTCTTGCTAGTATCTGGTGCTCCTGTCTGGTTATTGTCCTCGGATGTGCGTGTTAGAAGTGAAACTGCTGAGACTCGAGTGTCCAAAGAAGCCACTGCTTCTCAGTGTGCTGTGCTTAATTTAATGTTGTGATTGTGTTGTATTTTCAGTTGTATTGAGAACATCAGCAACTGTACAATTAGCAAGTGTACAGTGATAGCTTTGGGTTTCCTGGAGTTTTTCTGTGTCCTGAGAGACACGCAGGCTGTGACTGTGGGTTTTTGTGATGACTTATCCTTGTGTTTCTGTCTGGTCCTTTTAGTGCTTGGCCCTATCTGTTCCCTCACTCCAATGTACTCGTTCCTTTTGATTGGTATACTTTGATGATATGTGTTTACATTCAGTTGGGATTTGATGTGCACACACATCACATCTTGGCCATGTTTTACTCTTCCTGCTACTTCCCTCTTTCTTTTTAATTTATTCTTTCTCATGTACAAAGCCGGGAAATAAGCTTAACAAGTTTGGACCTAAACTAAAAGTAAACAGAGCCTGAGCAAGGGTCCTGTGGTACACACAGGCAAGTGTCTACGTGACTCTTGTCCCTTTGTCCTGTCTCCCTGGGCTCTGTCCTGCTTCACAGCTCTACCCATGGTAGAGCTTGAAAAGTGGCAACTGGTGATGTAAGGGAGGTTCTGCTACTTAGGGCAGATTAAGTGACAGACTAGCATACTGTGTGTCCCTGAAGGGACTTTCAGGACTTTTCACTAGGGCTTTGCCCAGTTGCCTCTCCCTTCAGTACAGCTTTTTCATGCATATGGAGTCAGCGTAATGACTTTTGGTTTCTGAAGGAGGCATCTGCGGTTCAGAGAGGCCAAGTGATTTTCCACAGGCCTCAGAGCTGGCTTACAGCACAGCAAGGCTTCAGAAATCCACGTTTCAAGAACAAATCTTGTTTGTTTTGTCCTCTATCTGCTTGTTTACCTATGGTCTGGGCTTGAAAAACCCAGGGCGCTGTGAGCAACGAGGGACTGAAGAAGGAAGGGAAGTAGCAGGCGAAGATTCTTCTGGCAGCAAAGAACCACATGGCTAGGGCACTCACCTTTCCCAGAAGGGACTGAGCAAGGTCACAGTCCCAGGGGTGGGGACAGGGCCAGGCAGGCAGACCCAGGGGAGTGTGGCTGTGAGATGGGTGCGGCTGTCGTGTGGCTCAAGATGTCCTGAGCCAAAAAGACAGCTGGGCAGGAGTGGGGGCCCAGAACGTGGCGTCCTCCTGGCTGTGGAGGGAGGAGCAGGGCCCCTAGAACTGGGCTCTGGGGCCTTTCTGGGCCAGGGAACACCCCTACTCTGAGCCTCTCCTGAACAGAGAGGCTCAGGCTTGGGTCAAGACCTTCTACTTACAGGCCTAGTGGGGGGGGCAGCCTCCCTCTGCCTCTCCCTAGGCTCGCCACTATTTCTGGGAGTCCTGCCCCTCCCCCATTTAAAAGATTTAATGTGAAGTGTCCTGATCTCAGTGTTTTTACTAAGCAACAGAACAAAACGATCTTGCATGTTCAACTCTAATCTCCTCGTGTTTTCACCTCGATTCATAGTGTTCCCCTGCCCCCGACCAACATTAAAACTCTTCAGTCCTGCTCTCTTCACCTCCATTGTCTTGGGTCTATACAACTGGCTCAGTTTCCTCTTTAACCCTCTGCCCGTGCGCTGCGGCCTCAGCCTCCTTGCTGGGTCCTGCCTTCAGCCTCGCACCCGCACAGCCGCACTCAGCTCTGCTCGGTGAGCCCGACTCTGTGCGGGAGGATCCCGGGATGCACTGCGTTCCCAGGCCTCCTCTCTGTTCCCTGTGCAGTTAGCCTTTCCCTCTGGCCCAGCCCTGAGGGATCTCCTTCCGGTTTCCGCACAGGCTGTTTTCCTTGTACTCAGGGCTTGGCTCCCACTGCTTTCTCTGTCTGGAAGGTTCCTTCTGCCTGTGGCAGCACAGAACCAACTCACTCGCCCAGGGAACTGGCTGTCAGGTCCACAGTGAAGCCTGGTCTAGCACCTGGCCCTGCGGATGTGTCGCTCCTGAGTACCCAGAGTCACTGTCACCGTAACTTTCCTACGATTTAGGTTCCATACTCGTTTAGGTCCCCTGGGCTCTCCCATGTGGGGTCTAAAATTCACCCCAACTCCAGATTTGTCTCTGGCAGGTGCTCAGACAGAAGCAAAGACCTTTCGGGCTGCAGCTGAGGCCTGCGCAGGGGAGGGATACGTGTCCTTCGCCGCATCGACACAGCGGTTGCCTACAGTGCACCGTGCTGATCCCCAGCATTCTCAGCGTGCAGCTTTACAGACACGTACTTTAAAACTCTGGATTCTGCAAAAGCAGATCCATTTGCATGGAGAGATTATTCCATCAAGCTAATTTAAAGGGCTGGTTATTTTTCTCTAGAGCCTGATCAGGGTCGGACAGGTCCTGACTTTCCTGTTTTCATCAGTATCAGTTTTCTCCTATGTAGATTTTAATTTAATTTAATTTTTTAAAAAATGTATTTGGCTTTTACAGGTTCTCATTAGGCAGCTCGGACTCGAGGTAATCCTCCTGCTTTCAGCCTCCCCAGCGCTGGCATTGTAGGTACATGCCACTACACCCAGAATCTGTGGCTGGCTCAGCCCGCCCTGGGGGCTGGAGCTGGTACAGCGCAGGGTGTGGGGAATTGAACCTCAGATCCTGTGCTTACCTAAGCAGGTGCTTAGTACGCTGCGCTATCTTGCTGGCCCCAATGTAGATTTTAGAGATTTGCCTCACCCATTGTTTTTTTTTTTTGGGGGGGGATGAAGCTTTTTAAGCTTTACAAATAAAAGTTTCTACTTAGAGTTCTTTTATGGGTGTTAAACGTCTACAGAAATCTACATTTTGGGGGATGACTTTATCAGGATGATTTCAGCCCTTTGTTAATTCCAAATCTATATGACATGTTAACACGTCCAGTTTGAACTGTTGCCATAGGTATTTTGTGTCTCTATTTTTGTCAATATAATCAGTTAAAGATTCATCTGCATTTATTTCTCAAGTTATTTATAAGGAAATTATGAAATGCTCTTACTAAATACTCTAGGCTTTATTATCTCAACGTCGGCTGGTGTCCTTTCTACTGAAGGGACAAAGTACAGCCCGGAGGTGAAAACTAGATGCCAGCCATCCTTCCTTAGAGCCGACTACCGCTCTCTCCATTCAGAACCAGAGTGGGGAGCTTTGTCTCAGCAATGCTGCTTAAGTCTCTGATCAAGGTTGTGGATCTTCTGCCGAGGTCAGAATCAGAATCCAAGCTCTGCCCGTGTGGCTGTCAAATCTATGTGCTTTCACTGAGCCCCTGACTGCAACGGCCTCAGGTGACGAAGTCCTGTAGAGACTTGTGGTGGAAGGTGTCCCTCGGCCACTATGGGAGACCATGGAGACTAGATTTGCCCTGGCTGTGGGAGCTGTGGATACAGCTGAAGTATCTTGGGAGTAAGGTGGTGATTTCTAGTCCAGTCCTCCGGGTGACCTTGGACGTGGCATGATATGCATCACTTGCCATCTCCGACTCCTAGTTTCCTTATTGGTAGAATTCACTCATCTAATTAGTATTTGGATTGTACAGCATGTGGTGGTACCAGTGTGACAGCTGCCAAGGCATGTCTACGAACTCAACTCATTCCTGCTCCGTGGAAGTGACTTTGAACTGGGCAGTCTCACGGGTCGTCTGGGCTCAGTGACTGTTGGGTAGGGTTTGAAGTTGGGGAGGAGAAAGGAGACAGGGCATTTTGTAGGATACAGAAGCAGTTCAAGGTCTATCCTTGCCTAGAGTAGTCTGCCATTGGGCCGGGATGGCAGGA